ACCATAAACTTATTAGTCAGATAGAAAAATAAACTGTAGAGAGGGGCATTTTGCTAAATATATGCACCATATAACATATTCATTATAAATTCTACTGTTCTTCAATGTTTAATTTATGTTTGAATAAATCCATCAAGTTTTTATGACAGCCACCATTAGTTTTATATAAAAAAACGAATTGAAGTAGAAATATTATTACCGGTATGTAATTGTAACGTTATTATTTTTAAAACTTCATTAAGTGTAATTTTAACAAATCAGTCAATTTTAACCTTCAATATTATAGTAATGTAGTACCAACTAGGGCTGCACGATAAATCGCATGCGATATTTAACACGCATCTTGTCAGAAAGCCGGTTCTGTAATCAGCGGTAAATCTCCATCACCTGCGGGTTTTCACATTGAGCAGCAGTAACTACACAGAGACGTTGTTCACTGACGAGCTGCGCAAAACCACGTTCATATTCGCATGATTTTTTTGTGCTGCTCGTCAGTGAACAACGGCTCTGTGTAGTCGCATGCAATTTATTGTGCAGCCCAAGTACCAACTGACTCTCATGTATAATTTACAGCATTAGTTGAGAGATTTTTTTTTCCTTGAGAAAATTTGGCATGTACTGTACCTGATATATCCAAAATAATCGATATTGCATCGAATCGAATCGGTAATCAAATCGAAAGCTTGTGAATGAGAATCGAATCGTGAAATTTGTGTCAAAACCCAGCCCTACTGGATATCAATAAAATGGGAAAATAAAATAGAAAATACACTATCGTTCAAGATTTTGGGGTCAGTAAGATTTTTAAGGGATTTTTAGGGATAAGCACAAGTACCATTATGATAAACAATACAACACAGGTATGCTCTCTGTTCTAAATAAACACAGCGTCAGCTGACTTTTGAGTTTGCTCCTGCACATATACAGTGGGGCAAATAAGTATTTGATACACTGCTGATTTTTCAAGTTTTCCCACTTACAAAGACTGGAGAGATCTGTAATTTTCATCGTAGGTACACCTCAACTGTCAGAGACAGAATCAAAAAAAAATAATCCAGAAAATCACATTGTATGATTTTTAAATAATTAATTTCCATTTTATTGCATGAAATAAGTATTTGATCACCTACCAACCAGCAAGAATTCTAGCTCTCACAGACCTGTTAGTTTGTCTTTAAGAAGCCCTCCTATCCTCCACTCATTACCTGTATTAATTGCACCTGTTTGAACTTGTTACCTGTATAAAAGACACCGGTCCACACACTCAATCAATCAGACTCCAACCTCTCCACTATGGGCAAGACCAAAGAGCTGTCTAAGGACACCAGGGACAAAATTGTAGACCTGCACAAGGCTGGGATGGGCTACAGGAAAATAGGCAAACAGCTTGGTGAGAAGGCAACAATTGTTGGCGCAATTATTAGAAAATGGAAGAAATTCAAGATGACTGTCAATCTCCCTCGGACTGGGGCTCCATGCAAGATCTCGCCTCGTGGAGTATCAATGATCCTGAGAAAGGTGAGGGATCAGCCTAGAACTACACGGGAGGACCTGGTCAATGACCTGAAGAGAGCTGGGACCACAGTCTCAACGGTTACCATTAGTAACACACTACACCGTCGTGGATTAGAATCCTGCAGCGTGGGCAAGGTCCCCCTGCTCAAACAAGCACATGTCCAGGCCCGTCTGAAGTTTGCCAAAGACCATCTGGATGATCCAGAGGAGGCATGGGAGAAGGTCATGTGGTCAGAGGAGACCAAAATAGACGTTTTTGGTATAAACTCCACTCGACGTGTTTGGAGGAAGAAGAAGAATGAGTATAATCCCAAGAACACCATCCCAACCGTGAAGCATGGGGGTGGAAACATCATGCTTTGGGGGTGCTTTTCTGCAAAGGGGACAGGACGACTGCACCGTATTGAGGGGAGGATGGATGGGGCCATGTATTGCGAGATTTTGGGCAACAACCTCCTTCCCTCAGTAAGAGCATTGAAGATGGGTCGTGGCTGGGTCTTCCAGCATGACAATGACCCCAAACACACAGCCAGGGCAACTAAGGAGCGGCTCCGTAAGAAGCATTTCAAGGTCCTGGAGTGGCCTAGCCAGTCTCCAGACCTGAACCCAATAGAAAATCTATGGAGGGAGCTGAAACTCCATGTTGCCCAGCGACAGCCCCAAAACCTGAAAGATCTGGAGAACACCTGTATGGAGGAGTGGGCCAAAATCCCTGCTGCAGTGTGTGCAAACCTGGTCAAGAACTACAGGAAGCGTCTGACCTCTGTAATTGTAAACAAAGGTTTCTGTACCAAATATTAAGTTCTATTTTTCTATTGTATCAAATACTTATTTGCCCCACTGTATCATTATGCTACAGGAAGCTCATTCTCCAGACTCTGGTGAACACGCTCAGGACCGCTTGCCTGGGGCTATGAATTACAGGTAAAAATGTTGTAAATAATGTTGGGTTTCTTGCACAGACTGATTGTTCTGTGCTGCCTGATATACTTTTTTTGAATTTCAAAGTGACAGTAGCCATTGACTTGCATCTAATAAATCACCAAGGACTACGGTTTCAGCTAAAAGTCTTCTTCACTGTTCTCTTGAAGAAAAAAATAATCATCTACATCTTGGGTGAGCAAATTAAGAGCAAATTTTCATTTTCGGGAGAACTATCCCTTTAATTTCTTTAAAAAAAACAAACCAAACAAACATCTATATTACTGACCCCAAACTTTTGAATGCGTTTTGGGCAGATGTATAAAACATAAAAATATATGTTTAATCCTAAATGCTGAGATCAAACTACAAGGTGCAAACAATCGGTGAAATGTAACCAACCTGCATTCATGATCTTTTTGGGCTTGCTGAGGGCAGACATGGAGGGGTTGGGGGGAGGCATGGTGTCCTGGCCCTGTCGCGCTTCCACTGGGTCATAGTCTTTTCCGTCATAGTTGGCATCAAAGAACTTCTTAAACCACTGAACAAATTCAAAATTGTCTTGAAATTTGCCCTTCACCAACTTGTCAACCGGGATAATCTGAAGGGGAAAGCACATTCAAATATTATTTAATGGATTTATTAGGGTCATTGTTTTAGTAGTGAAATCAAAGAACAAAAAACTAAATTGTCTACAAGGTATAATTGGATCCAAACTCCAATAATGAAATCATACTCTAGTGAATATAAATTTAGTGATAAAATGGAAATTGATTAACCTAAGTGGCTTGTTGCTAAATCTCTAAAGAGTCTCTCAAAACTCTTGTTTTGCTCAACTTGACCAGACAAACACTACGTGTGCAGATAAGCTAGAGGAAAAAAAAATTAAGCAACTCACTTTGTCAACGCCCATCCTTTTGAAGGCGGCCTGCAATATCTTAAAATTGTGAAGGTATTCATGCTCTAACTTAGCACCAAATTTAACTTTCTTCAAAGGTATGCAGCCTGGAAACAGCATGTCCATGAACTGGCAGTAGGCTGCACCTGTCAAGAAAATCAGATTAAAAACTGTTGATAAAATTCTTCCATTACTCCAAAACATATCCATTATTATAAAGTGCATTAGTGCACACCGTTAGAAGCGTTGGTTCCAGAAATACTTTTTCCATTCATTTTCTTACAGGGTTTGAAAAAAAGTCTTTAAAGCGATATAAGCCATAAACCAAGCCAACCAGCTATTTCCTTAAATTTCCTTATGAAAAAAATGGACTTTTTACATCCAGAGCCCAAATGTTGCACTTTATACTACAAAGCAGCATACATTACAACTCACCTGAACATAAAAGCTCGATCTTGGTAAAGTTCATCTGTAGAGACTCGTTGATCCACGCGAGCATATCATGGCGACTCAGATTGTCGCTAGTCACTGAAGTGGAATGTACGTTCACAGCCATGTCCTAGAATGAAGCAAGAGATAAATGAGACAGCGTGATGAGTAACCATGTGCTGACGTAGACTGAAAATTAATAATTACTTAATTATTAGTTAATACTGATGAACGTAATATTTAGACTTATTCTGTCAAAATCTCAATTTTACTATAAAGCATGCTCAATTATCATACATTAACCTTGACAGAGTATAAAGAAACACAAACACTGCAATGAACGAATTTGACCACATGGGTGATTCTTAAGGGAGTGTACCACGGATGATAAATCTCAGATTTCCTCTTTGAACATTGTGTTTGGTTTATGTATATTATGTTTATGTGGTTGGTTTTGTATAGGCGGATCACAAAACCAACCACATAAATATAATATACATAAACCAAACACAATGTTCTTGCTTTTAAGAAATAAATAGTCTTTCTAGTCACCAAAAGCATTGACATCCAACAGAATGAGCACTATGAAGATGTGCCTCTGGGTGAACCCACACGCTTAAGGGAGTGTACCACGGATGATAAATCTCAGATTTCCTCTTTGAACATTGTGTTTGGTTTGTGTATATAATGTTTATGTGGTTGGTTTTGTATAGGCGGATCACAAAACCAACCACATAAATATAATATACATAAACCAAACACAATGTTCTTGCTTTTAAGAAATAAATAGTCTTTCTAGTCACCAAAAGCATTGACATCCAACAGAATGAGCACTATGAAGATGTGCCTCTGGGTGAACCCACATTGTGTGATGTACACTATGAAGAAAAACGGATTTGTAATGTATCGTAATGGCATTAAGCCAGCCAGAGTCTCCAGACAGCTAAGCAAATGTTGAGAAATTGACAGCAGTAATGTCAGTCACTTTGTCTGTGCCCTAAAACCTAATAAGCTGCCCTACCTAGACAGCATTCTATTCGAAGTCATTTTAATTTGATTATAATGCGCATTTGACGGCCAAAATGCTTTCTTTTTAGGCAGCTCGCAGGGCTTTGAGACACAGCCCTCCAGGCACACACCGCCTCAGCTGCTCATGATCTGCATCAGGCCTCGCCTTCCCCTCTATAACCCTGATAACAGACGAGCTACGGATACTTATTTCAACAAGGAGGCTAAAATTAATATACGTATTTATTCAAACCTCAAACACCGGCCTCATAGACCAGAGTACTGAACGAAATACAAGACAAGCCCAGCTAATTCTTTGTCCCATACAACAGCAGCAGCAGCAGCTTCCTTTAGCGGCCGGGGCTAACCGTTCATTTCAGCGCACTCGTTCAAATGAAAACCATTCACGATGGGTATATAACGCTTTAACGACGTTGTCACGACATAAGCTATCTCTCCGTGTCATTAATGTACAGATAAAAGCAACGGACGAATATCTAACGGTATCTGAGGTTTCTCAGCCGAGCTTTACCTCTTGTTCGCCGGCGTCTCTTTCTCTCAGATCATGCGTCGGTTTGTTCTTTGGGCGACTTGCGTGTTGCGTCATCACGTACAGAGACGTAGGGAAAATATTGTGGCAAAATACTTGACAAAATAAGAGTCTTTGCGTCTCATTGCTTTTATTTGGTAATATATTGACGGAATTGTATTTATGCTAAAATAAGAGTTTATTGATGCAAGCTAAATTATTATTTTTTTTTAATAATAAATAATTATTAAATTAAATTTGATGTAGAAAGATAGATCCTTATATATCCTTATAGAAGCATAACTTAAGTGACGTGACATGTGGCCAAGTATGGTGACCCATACTCGGAATTAGTGCTCTACATTTATCCCATCCAAAGTGCACACACACACAATGTGAACACACACCCGGAGCAGTGGGCAGCCATTTTTTATATTAGTGGTTGAAGCTCTGGCTTGCTCATCCAGAACTTGTAGGAAAGGAGTTTAGTGATCTATTCTCTGTAAATGTTATCTAACGAAAGCATTGGCTATCACAAAACTCCCATAATGCAGTTTGCAGTGCTATTGTAAGTCATAAAGGAGAGTTACCAAGGTTATGTTTCATCTCTGACAGCTCCTGCTGATGCAACCACTGGAGTTTCTCAATCTCAATCCGCAAGCGCCGGATCTGCAACAAAATCCACAGAGAATGTCACCCAAGAGAACCATAACCAAGTATTGCCATTATAGAAATTAAATCTGTCAACCTGCAACCCATAAGTGTACAACCTATAAATTAAATTTTTTTATATATATAAAATACATATTAAGAGTGTGAATGGTGGAATAAAATCAAGCAGAAGTGACATAAAAGCAGAAACCTCTGCAATGGTGTTCCCCGTCGTGCTCTTAGAGAGGTCATTGTATATCTCTGTCATTGTTCCCTTAATCACATCCATCATCTGCCATTATGATGGGAAACAGACAACAGTCAAATTCATCATCGATTTTAAAATTATTTAGGCAAAATTGAAGTACTAGTAATTCAACAGTAGAATTAATCAAGGATCAATTCAGTTAAATATCCACAAACCATCATAATTCATTCCATATAATGAATTTACATACTAGAACTACATCTATATGGTTTTACTTTTAAAAACAATTTTCTTAAGGTCTTATAAATTTGCAGCTGTAGCTGTGGCCTGCAATCAAGGCTTTGCATTTGAAAACATACTACTTAAAAAATTCAGATTTAAAAAATGCTCTATTGCTTTTTGGAGGTGTTCATTGTACTAATGTGCTTATTTAACTGAATAGTTTGATTGAACAATATTTACATCAGAAGTGAGTGAATATCTGACTCACCTTAGTGGTGTACTTGGCGATGTCAGCGGCAACATCAGCAGAGGCCGGAGGGGTGAGGAAGTCTCCAGCCGGACTGGAGGTGGACGCACCAGAACCCATGTTAACAGGTGAGGTGTCTTTGTGTTGAACAGCTGGTGAAACAACAGAAAGCATTAATGCCACCTTGAAACAACGTTATGGGCTCAATATAAATTGAGCTGCATAATGTTAATCACCATAGAAAATACATTTGTCTCATCCTTTAGTTTTGTATTTTTTTTTTTTGTAGAAGTAGAAGTCGCTTTTGGATGAATATGAAGCTGTAATGTGAAACTCTTTTTGTGTGTGTGTGTGTGTGTGTGTGAAAGCACTTATTTTTTCCATAAAAGAGTGTATTAGTTTGAGCTTTAAAACTGTCATCAGCCTCACAAGGATGGACAGATGATGAGCCATGGCGTGCAAATAAATGTATGTGATTTATTTTATATGGTGTGCTGACACTAGCATCCAGTCGCCCTAGGGATCTCAATGTTTTTGTCAGTTCTGTAGAGCAAAGCATTCTGGGTAGTATATTATAGCAAAAATCTATTTGTTTTAGATATACATTTTTATATCTGATTTTTAAAATTCTAATTAAACAGATTATTCATCTAAAAAGTATTATACAAATTATAGTCATTAAATAAAAAACAGATATATTTACATATCCACACCTAGATTACAACAACAATCCAAGACAATTTTTATTTTTTTATTTTCATTTTATATCTTAAAATAGATTTATATTTATATAGATTATTTCAGGGCAGGTTTTTAAAAAATATTTTTTGTCTAGATCAGAATAATTTTTTTTAAAATTCCAAAACTATTGAGACCCTGGACCACAAAACCAGTCATAAGGGTCAATTTTTTAAAAATGGGATTTATATATCACAAGAAAGCTGAATAAATAAGCTTTCCATTGATGTGTGGTTTGTTAGGATATGACAATATTTGGCCGAGATACAACTATTTGAAAATCTGGAATCTGAGGGTGCAAAAAAAAAAAAATCTAAATACTGAGAAAATCTCCTTTAAAGTTGCCCAAATGAAGTCCTTAGCAATGCATATTACTAATCAAAAATTAACTTTTGATATATTTACGCTAGGAAATTTACAAAATATCTTCATGGAACATAATCTTTACTTAATAAAATCCTAATGATTTTTGGCATAAAAGAAAAATCGATAGTTTTGGCTATTGCTACAAATATATCCCAGCGACTTAAGACTGGTTTTGTGGTCCAGGGTCATATATTTAAAAAAACATAAAAGTTGAATTCCCATAAAATAAAATTTTTTTTTTTTTTTCAATTATTCTGCACTGAGAATCGGTCATGTATTTACCTTTGACGGACTGTCTGGTCTGGTAGCGTGTGCTGGAGTTGTTGGCTGAGGTCTGGGGCTGTGCTTGGCTCTGAGGAGCCGTCTCACCTTGTTGTTGTTGCTGTCTCTGCACCTTCTGAGATGATGTCTGGAATTTACCGCCAGCCGGGTTCAATGTTGCAGGCCGCTGGGCCGGCTGTGTGCCACACTTAGATTACAACAACAATCCAAGACAATTTTAATTTTTTTATTTTCATTTTATATCTTAAAATAGATTTATATTTATATAGATTATTTCAGGGCAGGTTTTTAAAAAATATTTTTTGTCTAGATCAGAATAATTTTTTTTTAAATTCCAAAACTATTGAGACCCTGGACTACAAAACCAGTCATAAGGGTAAATTTTTTAAAAATGGGATTTATATATCACAAGAAAGCTGAATAAATAAGCTTTCCATTGATGTGTGGTTTGTTAGGATATGACAATATTTGGCCGAGATACAACTATTTGAAAATCTGGAATCTGAGGGTGCAAAAAAAAAAAAATCTAAATACTGAGAAAATCTCCTTTAAAGTTGCCCAAATGAAGTCCTTAGCAATGCATATTACTAATCAAAAATTAACTTTTGATATATTTACGCTAGGAAATTTACAAAATATCTTCATGGAACATAATCTTTACTTAATAAAATCCTAATGATTTTTGGCATAAAAGAAAAATCGATAGTTTTGGCTATTGCTACAAATATATCCCAGCGACTTAAGACTGGTTTTGTGGTCCAGGGTCATATATTTAAAAAAACATAAAAGTTGAATTCCCATAAAATAAAATTTTTTTTTTTTTTTCAATTATTCTGCACTGAGAATCGGTCATGTATTTACCTTTGACGGACTGTCTGGTCTGGTAGCGTGTGCTGGAGTTGTTGGCTGAGGTCTGGGGCTGTGCTTGGCTCTGAGGAGCCGTCTCACCTTGTTGTTGTTGCTGTCTCTGCACCTTCTGAGATGATGTCTGGAATTTACCGCCAGCCGGGTTCAATGTTGCAGGCCGCTGGGCCGGCTGTGTGTTCTCCTTGGGCAGCAGAGGGCGCTGTTTTTTCCCCACATTGGAAGCAACAGGGACAGCAGACATGGGTTGAACAGCCGAGGTGGAGGTGGCTTGAGTGGTAGATGCAGTTGTGACGGTGGCTGGTGGCTTGATGGCTGATTCGGCTGCATCTTTTGGACCAGGATTGATGGAAGATGAAGTGTTATCTGTAGAAGAAGAAGCTGATGTGCTGGTAGATGCAGACGTTTTACCTAAACAAAAGGAAGAACACAATGTAGACAAAAAAATGTAAGATTCAGAGTAGAAATTCTAAAACAATGCATTTACAGAAACAAAATCCAAACTGTTTGGTACCTACCATCTGTTTTAATGCTTGTCTGATCTTTAGTTGTGGAGATGGGGGCTGATGGGGTATCTCGCTTGGCTTTCTTCTTTTCCCTCCCACCTGGTTCTTCACCGAGGTCTATCACCAGCTCCCGCTCGGAGTCAGAGTCTAAATCCAGCTCTGATCCAGCAGGCCGAGCGTCCTGCCCCGACTGTGACCTCTCCTTCTGGGTCTGCTGCAGGGGTTTGCTCTTCTCCTGAGAGTCTTTCTCCACGCCACTGCTTAACTTCTCTTTGGTCTGGGGATCTGAGGATTTCTTGTCTCCACCTGGTGTTCCTCCAGCTGTTGATGGGACAGCGTCTTGTTCTTGTGCTTGAGCGGATGGGGGTCTGGCTCTCTTTTTGGAGTCTTTGTGGGCACTGTTGTTGTGGTTAGTGTTCTTGGGCTTCTGTTCGTCCTCAGACATGTATTCACTGTCGCTGGAGTCAGATTTGTCAGAGTCGTCTGAGTCACTGTGCTCAACACCGTGGAACACATTATCTGAGATCTCATTGATTCCTGTGGATAGAAAACAAATTCATTTTCTGTTCTAAAATGTACAGGCTGCATATCTGGGTACATAAAGGAGCTCAAAAGCAGGGTTTCAGACATACAACACCATTCAAAAGTCTAAGGTTTTTCAAAATTTTTGAAAGAAGTCTCATGCTCACCTAGCCTACATTTATTTGATCAAAAAGGCAGTAATATTGTAAAATATTATTAGAATCGACAGTGTTCCATTGCCTGTGAAGTGCAAGATTACTAGTAATACATCAAGTACAATTCTTCAAGCAAGATCCACCAATCACCAATAAGTGAAATAAAAATCTAGGCAAAATTTGCAGGTTACCTACATAACTTTAGCTAATAGTAGCTAGTAGTAGAGTTGTTCACAACCAACAGGAAGTTGAATTGGAATGACAGGAAGAGGAACTTACTGAACTACAAATTAAAGAAACTCAAGGGCAGTTAATGGCATTCTGGGAAATTAATATTTCTTCTACCCTGATCTATAAATCAGTTTGTCCATCTGTCTGTTAGGCCTGTAAAAACATCTAGTTTCTTTTGAACTTTCAAGCAATGCTATTAAGCAAACATTCAAAAGCTTTCCTTTTCTTGTTAATATTACACTTATTCTATAGGATTCATTTGAAGTTAAATTAATTTTAATTCTACATCTTTATATTTAAATTTCAATTCTAGCTCTTTTTGCTACCTCAAATTGAGGAACTGAATTGGAATTGAAAACACATTCTCAATTCAATTCCGAATGCCGCAAACCTTGTAGTAAATACAGTATTCATATTTTTGCTGCTTGAAATCAAATACTGTCATTTTGTGATTCATCTTAAAGCAGGTTGGTTTGGTTCAAGGCTCTTTATGATATATGAACTTTATGATATTCACTTACCAATGATTATTCACAACCAAAGTTGCCAAAAAGTGGACGGCCATTGTTTGAGGTCTATTGTTAATCATCATTTGTGTGTGTTCACATGTTCATTACCCAGCTGAGCCTTGCAGCTCTCTATAGTTTTATCCAAACTCCTAGTAGGTTTTTTAGGAGAGGCGAGGAGAACCGACGTCCCTTGCTGCTGCTGCTGTTGCTGTACAGTTTCACTCAACTCCTTCAGGTCCATTTCAGCTTTAATGCGATCTGAGGGATCACATCCAACACAAATATTCAGCATAAATGGAGAAATAAAGGATCAGAGTGCAGTGGTCATTTCTGTGGGCCTCTGGTTGATTTGAGACTCACCCAAATTGAGGTTGAGGATGCCTCCCGTGCCTGAACTCCTTTCCTGTTTAACTGGCGTGGGTAGGAGAGGCTTGGGGCTGTTGCTTGTCTTTAGAGATGCAGGGGATGCTGTGGGCAAAACTTAAAAACTTTAATCATCCACTATTAATCATAAAATAAAACACTAGCCATTTTAAGGCATTAAATGGAATGAATCACCTGTATAATCCATTGAGTCTTCCCCGCCGCTATAGTGACTCGATGACACTCTCGCCCCTCTTTCGTCCTGCTCGAGGTCGGACCCCGTGTGGACTGAGGAGTTGGTGCTCATTGGCGATCTGGGTACGTCCATCACAGAGATCCGCCGCCCCGGCCCTCCTGACATCACTGTCTTACTCAAGAGCATCTTGGGGGATGCGGTCATATCGAAGCTGAACTTGACTTTGTCCGGTTTCTCAGGCTTCACCGTGCCTTTTTTAGGGTTATTAGGGTCCTGCAGCATTTGGAACTGGTTGTTGGGTGTGAAAGGTGTCCGGAACGGGGCGTAGTTGAACACGCCGTATTTCTTGCGCACGTTTTCCACGTAGACCTCCATTTCTTGCATGGCGCTGTTGAAGATGCTTTTGGTCTTCTTCACAGAGAAGGGGATCTCCTTAGACATGAGGTAACAGTTGTTTATGGGCACCCAGGCTCTGAGAGGCAAATGAGGGTGAAGTACATATTTTAGTATATAGAAAAAATTGTGTATGGCAGAAAAACTCCATGATAATATTGATATTGTTGTAAATATAACAAGTCCTTGATACAATAACCATTAGGATTTATTAAATTGGAATGCACATATAGATATAGATGATGAACAAAATACTTAATTTAGAATTTTTTAAAGCATTTTTTTGATAATATTCTTGAGATTTATGCATTTTCCCTGAAAATTTTGTCTAAAATGAATCAATTATTTATTTGTTTTTCATTTTTACCAATACAATAACACAGTACTATTAACCCATTTTTAAAACGTAAAACTATGCAGACTTACATAACTAAACACATTGTAGCAATTGTTTTTTTAAAGCATTTTTTTGATAATATTCTTGAGATTTATGCATTTTCCCTGAAAATTTTGTCTAAAATGAATCAATTATTTATTTGTTTTTCATTTTTACCAATACAATAACACAGTACTATTAACCCATTTTTAAAACATAAAACTATGCAGACTTACATAACTAAACACATTGTAGCAATTGTAGCCAAATTGAAAAATTTGAATTGGAAAGAACTAATCCACTAAAATGAAACAAACTTCCCAAATGTATTTGCTACTACGTTTAAATCACAGATGCTATTAAAACTAAGCAAATTAAGTTCAATATCTGATTGGCTGGATCTTAGTATTTTTCATATATTTTTATATTTTGTAAATATTCAATATATTGTTTATGTTTAAGATTAACAGTCTCACCGGTCATGCTGGCCAAAGAACCGTGCATCCACCTGACCTTCCTTGTCCCTCAAGGCTTTAGCGGGCCAGAAGGGAAAACCTTTCAGTTTGGCCCACACCAAAGGATGAGGCTGAGACTGCATGAAAGCAACAAACATGACCATTAGCCACCGATTAAATACCGCCCAGATATTTAACTAGATGATTTTTTAAAAACATAATTACTAATATAAGATTAAAAATGGCCATCCTCTTACACAAGGTTCACAGAACCAATTGTCCCTCTTCTGACAGGCGGACAGGTAGCACTCTGGACAAACCTCAATTTCATTCATCTGTGGATGATTTATAGAAACTGTAATTCTTTCCTTAGACCACCTTGGATGGATGCATTCATTTGATCAAAACTGACAGTAATTACATCTATAATGTTTTTCCCCCCCAAATAAATGTGCTTATTTTGAACTTTCTATTCATGAAAGAATCCTGAAAAAAATGGATCATGGTTTTCACAAAAATACTAAGCAGCACAACTGTTTTCAACATTGATAATAATAATAAGAAATGTTTCTTGAGCAGCAAATCAGCATATTAGAATGATTTCTGAAGGATCATGTGACACTGAAGACTGGAGTAATGATGCTGAAAATTCAGCTTTGCCAAATAAAACTAATATCTCTGGTTTTACTATATTTTTGATCAAAATAAATGGAGCATTTCTGAGCATAAGAGACATCTTTCACCATTAAGAAACAAACTTCTGAATGGAAGTATTTGGTTTATATATATAACACGTATTGCATGCAATGTATTGTAAGGATATTACAGTACTCACTTCATGTTCACAGATCTTGACAATAACTTTAGCAGTTGCTGTTAGCTTATGGTTTCCTGAAATAGACCCATTGAAATTTCATGAATGTACAGATATGAGTCATGATACATGCGCACTGATTTCACAGACCAGCACCAACCTCCATTATATATGATACAGTTGTGTAGAATCCATTTCATGTCCGCCAAAAATGCTTCTGTGCATCCGTACATTTTCTTCTTGATATTCTACAAACACACATATTTCTCTGTTACAGTTTTTATTTTTATTTATTATCTTTAGAAAAAAAAAAAGACAAAAAGATGTTTATTGGTTTTAAATGATAAAACAGTAGATACACTTTTCAAAACGAACACATAAAGTACCTGGACACTTGTAATGCAGAAAACCTGATCTACCTTCTCTAGAGTGCACAGGTCCATGGGGTGAAATATATACTCGGCATAATCCGGGTGCTGTTCAAGTGACACTGGCTTCTGAAACGGTTCGGTCTGCAAGATAAATCATTCATAATGATACAACGCAAGGGTCAATGTATCAATGTATCAATGTAATGTAATCACATAAAAACTGAGACCATCAAAATGAAACTATGGAGTGATTAAATCAATTGTGAGGATTTAATGTGGCATGGCTGACTCACCCCTGGCTGTTTCATTTTCTGCAAAGCGAACTTCAGCAGGTAGGACAGCTGTTCCAAGTTCAGCATGGTCATAGCTTTACTCTGAGTCTCTATGCATTCAGCCACTGTTATTTTCTGAAGCAGAGAGTGAAATGACTGTACTATATTCATAAATCACATACATACAGTTTATAACCATTAATGTGCTCTCAAACATTCTCAAACTGCTGATTCAGTTACTGTCTATTTAACTTGATGTTATAAAATGTATTAAAATAAATTCTTTCTACTGTTGGTAAGAATGAACAACTGAATGACATCTGCTCTGAATTAAGGATGTAGAAATGCATTGATGCTACTTTCAGCTGAATTGTACCAGAATAAATTGATTTGTGAGCAAATTTCCGATTTAATGATACACGACAAGATTTGGCAAAAATTGTGAGCAAAATATATTGTTGTCAGAGCAAATACACCCTATACACAGCGAATTCAACCTGTTTAACCAGTTTCAAAATTGTCTAGTTCATTCTAGTCCAAACAAAAGCATAAAACTCTTAAGTAAGGAGTGCTGAAGCACCTGTATGTCATACTTAGTGTTCCAAAACCTAGTGAGTCTACTGCCTAGACAGCATCTTAATTGTTATGGAACCTTATAATTCAAAAGAAGATAAAAAAAATTGCGCTCACTCAAAGCACTCGTCGCTAAGCTAAAAACCCAATACTGTTTTGTGATAACACGATAAGCATAAAAATATATAATACACTCAAATATTGGTCAAAACAGTCAATTTAATTATACTGGTAAATGACTTTTAATCAACACTTTTTAGTACTGATTGAAATGCTAATTTATAATCAACATTTATTGTGACTCATCTGCTATTTTGGATAAAAACATTCAGGGATTCTCCACAAAAGATACTGCGATATTTTGGCCAAAATAATGCATCTTTAAAGGGATAGTTTACCCTTCGGGAACACAAAAGAAGATATTTTGAAGAATGTTGGGAATCAAACAACATTCAAGCCTGTTGACTTCCATTGTATCATCACCGAGACAATTCTCAAAATATCTTTTATGTTCCACAGCAGAAAGTCATGTCAGAAAATGCTATTTTAGTTTTATTTACATACTTTTATAGTACTTATTAATATTTGGATTTTTTTTATTTTAATTTTTTTATTAATACTTTTTAAATTAATAATTAAATACATTTTAGTTTAAGTTTTTAGTAAATTTTGTTACATGCTTTTGCCATTTGTATTAGTTTAAAAAATATATATATATTTCTATATAGCTTTTATTTAAGCTTTAGTAACTTTAGTACTTTCCACTTGTTTAATTTCACTTGTTTTTTATATTTCTATATAGCTTTTACTTATATTTCCACTTATTTAAAAAAAAAAAAGTATATATATATATATATATATATATATTTAGTTAACATTAACAAGAATATACAGTTTTGCAATTACATGTAATATGAGTAAATGACAATTTAAATTTTTAGGTGAACTATCCCTTTAAGTTAATTTTGCCTAGTTTTTGAAACAGTCTTCACATCAGAACTGTGCCTGCCCCTCAAAATAAGTAGGCAGCTCACTAGGTTTTGGAACAGATCTTAAATTTCCATATGACTGATTATGGCCAGTACTTATCGCTATATAGTGCTTCATGCTCTGAACATATTTAAAGTGCCAGAAGGAGAGTCCCATGACATAACAGCCAACATATACAGTCAGTACCTCACACTCTGGACAGAACCAGTCGCCTTCAGGCTCTGCGGCCAGTTTGAGGCACTTGGCGTGGTAGACGCGCGGGCAGAGCTCACAGCAGAGCACCTGGCCCTCGCGGTGACACACCCAGCAGTAGAAGTCATTCCGCCCGTCCTGCGGTACAACATCAACAGGGTCTGTGGTGAGTGCGGGCTGCTTGACATAGTAAAAGGGACCATGTCTAAGCTCACACTGAAATGCAGGCAAGAGAGACAGGGCAAGGGGTCAAATCACAAGCCACAACACTCGCAGGGGAAACGTAGCAAGGCACTGCAATAAATCAAGCACGGACAGGTAAGCACTCACATGACCACTGGGTCAAAAGCGGCACACTGGGAAGATACTGTAGGATTTCATTTCAAATTTTCCTAAACACACTGCATGACCCATGTGTAATCTAAGAAACACGTGGTGTCTGAGATCAAGTGTGTTTCGCCAGGATTTGAACGAAATCTTAAATTACTATCAGATGCCAAATACAGATTAGCAGGATCAAGAGAGAGTGGCAAAATATACTTTAGACCAAGTTGTAATTTAATGGAACTATATTAAACATAATCACAAAAATTGACAGCTAATAATTAGTTTTCAATACCTGTAAGGTATCAAAAGAAATCAATTAATATAAATTTGCTTAGTATTTTTTTTTAAAATAAGACCAATAAGCAAATCCACATTTGGCATCTTTCATGAAACATTGTTCATATGCATTGCAACACACCACCACAACGACAGCACAAGATTCAATAAAATCAGTGCACTTGATCTTTATCTGTAATAAAGTGAGCACACAGTGGTCCCTAAAAGAAGCATTTGGACACTTGCCAGCTGCAAACAAATGTTTAGTAACAAAAGCAACAGCTTTTCTCAGAACTAACTTCCCTTTAAGCTATTTTTGCAGTGGATTTAACCAGCTGGTAACCACAGGTGCAGTTCATCACATTAAGTATATACGCTACCGTTCAAAAGTTTGAGGTCAGTAAGATTTTTTTAAATAAATGAATGCTTTTATATAATGTTTCTTGAGCAAATTTCTGAAGGATCGTGTGACACTGAAGACTGGAGTAATGGTGCTGAAAATTCAGCTTTACATCACAGGAATAAATAACATTTTAAAACCTTACATTTTTTAAATTGTAAGGTTACACTTTATTTTAAGGTGTCCTTGTTACAGTGTATTTATACATTTAAGTACTGAGTGATATTAATTAATTACATATACTTACTATATGGTTAGGGTTAGGATTAGGGTTTGGCTTAGGGTTACTTGCATGTAATTATGCATAATTAATTGTTATTACAATAATAAGTACATGTAACGTGTCACAAAGTCACCTTAAAATAAAGTGTTACCAGTTGTCATTATACTTTACAATATTAAAGTTTTATTGTATTTTTGATCAAATAAATGCAGCCTTGGCGTGCATAAAAGACTTCTTTCAAAAACATAAAAAATCTTATCAAATATCAACCCCAAACCTCTGAACGGTGTGGAACATGTTACACAAATATTAGATAACCAGAAATACATTTTGCCTTCATCATAAACAGTACATCATTAAAATATGTATAACAGTATGTCAACTAAATATTAATTTTACTATCTAATGTAATGACATAAATTCATCAAAGTGAAAGCTCCCCCAAAAACTAAACATTAACCCTTGTCTCTTTTCAAACCTGTATGACATTAATTCTTATGTGGAACAGAAAGAAAAGTCTCAGTGTTTTTTGTCCATATGTTGTTTGGACACCATTGGCTTTCATTGTTGTGCATAAAAGACTTCTTTCAAAAACATAAAAAAATCGTATCAAATATCAACCCCAAACCTCTGAACGGTGTGGAACATGTTACACAAATATTAGATAACCAGAAATACATTTTGCCTTCATCATAAACAGTACATCATTAAAATATGTATAACAGTATGTCAACTAAATATTAATTTTACTATCTAATGTAATGACATAAATTCATCAAAGTGAAAGCTCCCCCAAAAACTAAACATTAACCCTTGTCTCTTTTCAAACCTGTATGACATTAATTCTTATGTGGAACAGAAAGAAAAGTCTCAGTGTTTTTTGTCCATATGTTGTTTGGACACCATTGGCTTTCATTGTATGGACAAAAACATGTTCCACTAAAGAAGATAATATTTGGAATGACATGAGTTGGAGTCAATTATGTTTTGGGTTGAACTATGTCCTTTAAATATGCCTGTAGTGGCCAAATGTTTTTTTGAGGACACCCCGTAGCTTACAGGACAGAAATCCCCACAAGTGGTCGACTTTGTTCATGCAAATCAGTAAAAGCATTCGGCCCTTTCAGAGACCAGTGTTTTATCATTAAAAACTGCACATTGAATGGAAATGAAAGTCAAACACACACATATTTACAAGCCACAATCAATCCTGATTATTTCGATTGGCCGTTTGAATAGAAAAATGCAACAAAAATGTAAATGGACACAGGAAGAGACAAGAGTTTAACTTACAAACCAAAGGTCTGTTTTAGATACTACAAATGTTTTTCAATTCATCTGAGCAGGAATTATCAGCTCAAACCAATTACAATTCAACAAAAGAGAGAAGCCAAGGAGGGGACATACTTGGTCTTTGTTGTTGATTAATCCCGGTTTCTTCTTCTTCTTTGTGGGACTGGGTGACGTTTCAGAGGGTGAGTGTCCGTTTGAGGAATGTGGAGGACTGGGTGCTTTCCTCTTCTGCGCAGTCAGCACCTGCTCCGCTGATCCTAGATCAGGGACCGCTGATGAAAGAACCACAGCTGCTTTACTATGCAAGGCATGGTTAATACAACACCTCACCCAGCTGGGCCTGTGATTGTGACCTTTCAAAGCATCGACCTCCACATGCACAAAAAGGGTTGCCTTTTATGCACATCTTCAAGACTAAAACAAAAGATGTCGTATCAAATGTCTGACTAACCTACTAACACGAAGTACCAGATAGCAACAACTAGTCGGCATAATGAAAGACAAAATTAGGTTGCATGCCACATTTGATGTGGTTCAGATTAAAAGCGTGACTCGCTTTTTAGTCATTTCAGCTCATGACACAAATATTAGATAACCAGAAATACATTTTGCCTTCATCATAAACAGTACATCATTAAAATATGTATAACAGTATGTCAACTAAATATTAATTTTACTATCTAATGCAATGACATAAATTCATCAAAGTGAAAGCTCCCCCAAAAACTAAACATTAACCCTTGTCTCTTTTCAAACCTGTATGACATTAATTCTTATGTGGAACAGAAAGAAAAGTCTCAGTGTTTTTTGTCCATATGTTGTTTGGACACCATTGGCTTTCATTGTATGGACAAAAACATGTTCCACTAAAGAAGATAATATTTGGAATGACATGAGTTGGAGTCAATTATGTTTTGGGTTGAACTATGTCCTTTAAATATGCCTGTAGTGGCCAAATGTTTTTTTGAGGACACCCCGTAGCTTACAGGACAGAAATCCCCACAAGTGGTCGACTTTGTTCATGCAAATCAGTAAAAGCATTCGGCCCTTTCAGAGACCAGTGTTTTATCATTAAAAACTGCACATTGAATGGAAATGAAAGTCAAACACACACATATTTACAAGCCACAATCAATCCTGATTATTTCGATTGGCCGTTTGAATAGAAAAATGCAACAAAAATGTAAATGGACACAGGAAGAGACAAGAGTTTGACTTACAAACCAAAGGTCTGTTTTAGATACTACAAATGTTTTTCAATTCATCTGAGCAGGAATTATCAGCTCAAACCAATTACAATTCAACAAAAGAGAGAAGCCAAGGAGGGGACATACTTGGTCTTTGTTGTTGATTAATCCCGGTTTCTTCTTCTTCTTTGTGGGACTGGGTGACGTTTCAGAGGGTGAGTGTCCGTTTGAGGAATGTGGAGGACTGGGTGCTTTCCTCTTCTGCGCAGTCAGCACCTGCTCCGCTGATCCTAGATCAGGGACCGCTGATGAAAGAACCACAGCTGCTTTACTATGCAAGGCATGGTTAATACAACACCTCACCCAGCTGGGCCTGTGATTGTGACCTTTCAAAGCATCGACCTCCACATGCACAAAAAGGGTTGCCTTTTATGCACATCTTCAAGACTAAAACAAAAGATGTCGTATCAAATGTCTGACTAACCTACTAACACGAAGTACCAGATAGCAACAACTAGTCGGCATAATGAAAGACAAAATTAGGTTGCATGCCACATTTGATGTGAATTTGGTAGTCTTAGTATGCTTTACATTATGTAATTTAGTAAAAACCAAAGAAATGATATGACTAATAAGGACAAAGATGTTAAAACAAAACATTGCATTATTTTGAAACCCTTCACACAATGTGTGAAAAAAAAATTCCTTCACATTAATTAATATGTCATTCGCTTAGAAAATAAAATAGATGCAGGCCTTAAAATAACCCATACTATCACACAGTGCCCTGACCAGTCACTAAAAAAAACAAAAACCGGGAAGCGCTAAAGTGTGAATTTTCTGTGCCAAAAACAGTGCATGGGCATCATAAAAGGTTCAAAAACATTATTAAAAAGATGCAGTTTGAAGAAAACCATTTTCAGTGAACAGGTGATTTCTGGTGACATTAGCATCAGAGACCACTGATGTCGCAATCAGTTTGCGCAAATAAATAGCGACAACCAATAGGAGCAATTCGCCACATGATACATTTGAATATTAGGAACGACTAGAAACCAACAGCTCAGAGATTTGAAGATCTCCAATGAGTCAATCATTGTCAGCATAAATGCCATTTAACCAGCCACGACTGCAACGAGTGACAGCACATTTTTATTCGTCCCATTTTTCATTGTAGGTAGCCCAACCTACAATCGGACAGATGAAAATTTTGGTCGTTTGCAGTTCAAATTTTCACATTGCATTGCTCTTGGCAAGCGAAGGCCTTTAGTATGTGCTGCTGAAAAAACATTATTTGCACAACACAACAAATTTGACGTTTAATATATCCAACAGTTTTGTGAAATGGTATTTCTATCCAGTGATAATTCAGTGGACAAGACTACCCAAAACAAATTTGCGTAAAATACTTTGAGTCTTACACAATTAATGTGACAGTTTTAAGAAAGATTTCTATAAAAATTTGTTCTGCTCGAGTTTCTGAGCTGAAGAAATTAACAACAACAAAAAGAGGTGACTACTCTACTTAACACTCAACCACACGTATCCTGACCACAATGAGGCCTTATTTAACCCCGTACAGAGGAAACCCACTACGGTCAATCAATCAACCGCAAGGGCAGGACAGAAATGGCGGGTACCAAAAAGAAACTCGTAAATGACAGGTGAAAGAGAAGAGGCGGTACAAGGCCAATGGCACAAACAAAATCCTATAACGACAAGGCCTTGATCCCAGTCTTTGTGCAAAAGAAAAGACCAGAAAAGATTAGAAGCTGGCAACGGTTCTCCATTACATGAGGTCAGAATTAGGACCAGTGTTGAGAACGACGAGCACGACTGAGAGGATTGATCATTAGGCCACAATGAGGCCTTAGTCTTTTAACTAATTCTCATTGACAGGGCCACGGCTTGACGATTAAAAATCATGTACTTTTAGATATTCAGAGACATCCTTCAAGAGGACAATATAAAGGAAGAAATCCACCAAAAAATCCAAAATGGCACATAATCCTCCATGGCGATGAATAAAACTCACCTTTCTCACAAGAAAATATTCCAGGTTGTTCGGAAAAATCAGTGATTATGTGTCAGAAACGACAATAATGACATAAGTCTGGAAAAAGAATATCCGTTTCAGCAAACTTAAATAAGACATGCAATGTCTGAGGTGGGAAATGCACATCTAAGCGTGTAGCCCAGGGCCTGAGGGCACTCCATTTTTGACTTTAATGCGAGGCCGTAAGGAGCCGCATGGATGTTATGTCACATTAGGGCCACGTCACATCAAAAACTCCCATCCACCAGGCCTCTCTTTTCCTGCTCGCTTCAGAAAAGTTAAACAATGTCAAGCCAATTGCGTGGCTGAAAATCCAGATCTCTACACTGAAATCAAAGAAACAGGAAGTCCTGAAGCTGATCCAATGAAGAGAAAGAAAACCACCGCTCTGCAAGCAAACCGGCCTCCAAAACAGGATCTTCTAGAACCATCTGAGAAGAGAGACAATCAGAGGTCCTCGCTAACAGACCAAATAAAGAGAAGAGCTGTGAATGTGGAGATAACTGGTCAGAGAGTGAGCCGAGGTCTTTTTTTTCTCTCTTCGCAGGAAATGAGAGTGCCTCCCTTCCCCCACCGCTCTGCTCGAGCTCCCCTTCCCCCTCCCTCTAGGCCAGAGACACGGGCTCTGGCACGTCCATGGCACAGGAGCTTACAGTAAACAGAGAGAACCAGAGAAACCCGTGCATATAGGTCAGTCTCAAGAGCCACAGCTGAGAAAAACAAGTGAAGCGGTAATGCACTTGAGTATCAACATGCAAACAAACGTTTTGCCTTTCAGACAAGGCAAACCTTTCTTCCAGATTGTAATCTTGAGCTGTTAAAAAGAGCAGCTTTGTGGTTCACGGTGACTTTACGAATCATTTCAAGCGCAAGAAGTGACTTTACAAGCACACAGTTGTTTCCTGTCACAGATGTCGTTGTTGATACGATTTTACTTTTTTTGTTGCTCTTTGCTGATATAACGCAGGCAAAATAGCCTTGTCAGACCACTACTGGTCATTTCCTCCAAATGGCAGAAAGCCAGTCATCACAATCCTTTATAACGTTGTTTCCTTGACAGGAATCCCAATCGCAGTGGCATAATCTCCCTGGGAACACACAAAACATGAGCTGCACCTTACCGACGTAAAACCCTCCAGTCATTTTCTCATAAAGAGTAGCTAGGCTAACAATATACAAAGGTCTAGCCGACTGTATTGTGATTGTAATTAAATTAATTGTTCATAATTACAACAACTAACTCACAAGCCATTTGTTGTTGATAAACAGGTGAAATATGATATGTATTGAATGGGGTTTTTTTTAAACGCAGCTATAAATATCATTAGAAAGGCCAAGGATCCGTTGGGAATGCGGCAGGAGGCTTTTGGTCCCGTGTGGTTTGTGCTCGCTTGTTTTGTCTTTGGGAGCAGCTGTGTGTGTGTGTGTGTGGCAGTGCTATTTTATTGTTAACTTCACCATAAATCTCTAAAGACACTTAAAGGAGATGAATAATAATATGTAAACGCCATCCAAATAATCTTTTTAAAAATGCTGTTTTACACTACAGGCTAGTCTATGACAGGAATCTGTTTTGTTTTTACATTAAGTTTAAAAAGGAACTGAATTCAACCTTTTAATTTCACATTATTTTAGCTGTGCTAATGCTAACTTTGCAATAAAGCAATGGAAACAATTCCTGCTCAAAGAAAATGAAAGTCAACCATAATTCTGATTAACTCGATGTTTTTTTGCCATGTGGCTGTCTGCAGGCATTACATTGTAGAGTATGCATGCTGATTATTGGCCTTAGGAAAAATTATTTCCCCATTTCCTTATTATAAAGTCTTTGCATGATTTGTATGAATCAGATAAAATCCTTATTCAAGAGTAATCAATGCTTGAAAAAAATGGTGTCTCAGACTATTTTTAAACTCATACTTGCAATGTGACTGACAGTAAAAAATACTAGCAAACATGCAAATGCCCATTTATTTTCTTAAGGATGTGTTCAAAAACAGCACAAAAAATAGCTTTACCGCCCACTAAATGAAGAATGGACTAGAATGTCATCTAACATCCCTCCTGAAACTAAAAGTATAACCTGAAAACATAAAACAAACATTTGCATAAAATGGAATACATATTTAAAAAAAAAAAAGTTTCGAATTCAACTCTCCGCCCCTCATTGGTAGCTCACGTCCTGAATTACCTATCCTGCGCCTGTGTAAAATGACCACAGCTGGGGCTCTCAGCTCTCTAATAAGGCCCTAACAGATGCCTCCATTTTCTATGGCGGGCCTTGAGACACAAACAGACGATGGGACAGGCAATCAGCTTACAAAAGTGCATCACCCGAACACCCCACCCCCCTGATCCTCCACCCCCTACGTAGGGCAGATCAACAGAGGGCCCTACATATACAGAAATGACTGTCACTGAGCTGTTTGTCACTACAGCAATGAGTGATAGCTGACTTCGTCTGCCGTGTAACCATGTGACCGAGCAGCACACGGGCCAAAGCTCAGGAGAGTGAGAGGGAGAGCCTGACCCCCCTTCTCTGGCCCTCTCCCCCACCTCCTTCCTCCTCTGCCCTGTTTTTCTGAGAGACAGGCCTTTGCTAGGCCTCCCCAGTCACTGGAGAGTCAAATCTGCAATTCACAGTGTTAGCAGTGGATGAAAATAGTACAATGACAAGAAAGGACAGACGTAAGAAAACATCAGGCTTACCTCTGTGGATGCATGGCTGAAACAGTGTAATGTCAATGCTTCTAAAACATGGAGGACAGCCTCAGCCTTTAGACAAGGGAGGGCTCTCCTCTCCACACTCAGAGCTCAGGCCTGTCTGATCAGAGCAGGGCCGTGACTGGCTGCCCTCCCACTAGCAGGATGTAAGGCTTCGTCTGATTGGCCGAAGCGCTTCCTGAGTAATCATCTTTGTTCGGCACTGGCAGGATCAGCAGTGAGTGCGGGAAAGAGCACAGAGGAGAGGGAGAGAGAGAACTAGGCCTCACTCGCTCAAAAAACCTGCTTGCTTGCGCAGAGCCACTGCGAACTGGCAGCTAAATGTCGGTTAGCTGTGGATGTGGAGGAAATTTCGTAGGATTTCGCACTTAAATTCTTTTGTTTATCTCAAGTCCGTGTGGAGCCGTGGGCCTTTGTTTAATCCCTCCCCCCACACGGTTGAGAAATAGGAGACACTCCTTTAGTGAAAATGAGCCCTAGGCAAAAATAGTGCAGCCACCATAACTTCCTGTGCATGAACTGCAACTGATTCATGAGCAATATGTAAAGCAGATATAATATTCAACCTAAAATGTGAAAAAACACAATGTACTATGCCACGATTATATCAGTAATCGGTGCAAATCCAAATGAAATGCACTTGGACATTACGCAATGAGCAAAGTAACAAAACAGATTACACTCAATAAAACCTGAAGCACTTAAAAAAAACTATTATTATATTTAATGAAAACAGTTTTCTAGAAAAAGCATATATCATGAAAAATATATTTGACTGGATTCACAAAGCAGAAGAGCAAGACAGATGCCATAGATTCATAACAATATTGATGCTGTTCAAGTAAAATTCTCTGAATTGTTACTGCATGAAGACATTGTTACATTTTTAGGTGATTGTATTAGTAGGAATGTGTTTAGGCCTTTACAGCAAAAGCTTCCACTAGGCCGCAAGCGGTGCGACCTGCTGTGTGACATTTACACAACACTGATATCTACTGGAGAGACAGGAGATAGACTTTCGTCTGAAATCACCATTAGGATTTAGATATGAAATAATAACACATCGATGAATTCCCATACCTGCTAGGTGAAAGTTTATCAAGAGAAAATCTGTCTGCAACAGTGGTGTTATTGTTAACTAAAACTATTAAACATTTAATTTTTCGCATTTATAAAAAGGTGAAAATTTTTTTTTACTGAATGAAATCAATAAGTTCGAGTCAAATGACTGAAATTACTAAACAATTTATTAAATAAATACTAAGTAATTGATATCTAAAAATAAAACATATAAACAAATAAAATATAAAAAAGAAATATAAATATAAGAAAAACTTTTTTTTTAATTAATTGAAAATTATAAATATTGCATTGGCAACTAATTTAAATAAATAAAGTTCTTATTTACTAAAACGAAACTAAAACTGAGAGTTGGTACTCTCACTAAACTAATACTAAAACTTAGTATAGAAATACTAATAAAAAAGGACAAAAGCACATCACAAAATGACTAATACAGAAATGTAAAAAATAAAAGCTTATTCAAAATATTAATAAAGTATATAAATAATGCTAAAACAACACTGGTCTGCAAGTCTTACTATTACTATTTAATTTAATAATTTGCTATTATTTATTTATTTATTAAATTTAGTTACATTTTAAATTGTGTATGTGGCTGTGTAAATGTGCATATAAAATGCTACTTATATATTCATAAAAATTTAATAAAAAAAATGTATCCACGCCTTCAGTCTCTCTCTCTCTCTCTCTCTTTAAAAAAAGGGCAAGGCATTTCACGTGATATGGAGAACCACAAAAAAAGAGACCTGATAAGAAAATGAAGAAGAAGAAAAAAAGATAGCAGGGCACGAACATGTAGCCATCTGGAAGCTTTGCCAGTTGTCTCGCAACTCCTAGAGAGGTAAGCTCACTAATCCTGTCTCTTATACTTTGCAGATATTTATATACTTTTCCTAGAAAGTTTTTAGTTAGTGGAAATGTAGATATATTGATAAATAAATGTGTACAAAGATTTTCAAGCAACTAGAAAGTTTCTAAATGTTTTCTGAGTGAATGTAGATAAGTGTTCTGTACTTTTATTGAAAACTACTGATGAAATCATACTTTTTTTATTATTATTATTTTAGAGAGGAACTAAAGCAAATATGCCCCAATCAGCTACCACAAACCTGGGCTACACTCCTCCAGATGGAGGCTGGGGCTGGGCTGTGGTGTTTGGATCCTTCATCTCCATCGGCTGCTCTTACGCCTTTCCCAAGTCCCTTACCATCTACTTCAAGGAAATCCAGGAGTATTTCTCCATCTCCTACAGTGAGATAGCCTGGGTCTCCTCCATCATGCTGGCTACCATGTATGCAGGAGGTTAGAAAGCATATTACTCAACTTTGCATGGTAATATATACATGTCATTTTTGGAAAGCTGCGCCATTTCTTGGCATTCTAGGTGCTCCCACAATCAGGCAGAGCCGTTCAATATGTGCTAGAAATAACCAAAAAGCAGTAGGAGCCCAAATCAAAGATGACTTTGTCCCCATGGTTGCATAATGAGCCAGAGCTGTGATCCTGTTTAGTCTAATTTTGCATAGTCACATCCAAATCAGGTTTAGATTTACAAGTCAAGGTTTTAGTATTACTTTTAATATGAGCATTGCATCATCTTTCTGTGTCACCTTACAGGACCTGTGAGCAGTATTTTGGTGAACCGCTATGGGAGCCGCCCAGTGGTGATAGTTGGTGGGCTAATGGTTGGGGTTGCTATGGTAGCGGCTTCTTTTGGCACCACAATTTTTCATTTGTATTTATGCGTGGGAGTCATTGGAGGTACATATTTCAACGTTTATAACATTAATATACATTTTCTTGCTTGTCCTATTGTTCTTCTGCTAATAATAACCATGCTAGATTGTGATTGGTCAGTACAGTGTACTGGGGTTCCTCCCCTGCGTGTGTGTGTGTGTGTGTGTGTGTGCATGTGTGTGTGTGTGTAGATTACAACTGCAAGGTGAAATCTGTCTGTTTGATCTCCAGATCTCCATTAATATTCTGGGTTTTAGAAAAACATGCCATTCCTTGTTATTTTGAGGTGAAGTGACTGATCCAAGACGTAATAGAGATTTTGAATGAATCATTCTTTAGAATCAATTTGTTCATGTGTTCTTTTATTATGCATTTGTAAAACTGTGAGTTTCAGTGGCAGCACTCACTAATTCAATAATCACTTGAAGAAAGTCTCAAATTAATAAATCACTGAATCTGTCTTGTTCGACTCAAAATGAGCAAAAAATAGGGAGTAAAATGATTCGCATCACTCCAGTGTGCTGACTGCTAAATAGTATTAGATCAGACTCTAAACTATTTAACATCATATCTACACTACCATTCAAAAGTTTCTTCACAAAGACTGCATTTATTGGATTAAATTTACGGTAAAGACAGTAATACTTTTATTTTCAAATATATTCCGCGGGGGTCTCTCCCCTGTGTGTGTGTGTGTGTGTGTGTGCGTGTGTGTGTGTGTGTGTGTGTGTGTGTGTGTGTGTGTGTGTGTGTGTGCATGTGTGTGTGATCAAAGATTACAACTGCAAGGTGAAATCTGTCTGTTTGATCTCCATGTTTAAATTAATATTCTGGGTTTTAGAAAAACATGCCATTCCTTGTTATTTTGAGGTGAAGTGACTGATCCAAGACGTAATAGAGATTTTGAATGAATCATTCTTTAGAATCAATTTGTTCATGTGTTCTTTTATTATGCATTTGTAAAACTGTGAGTTTCAGTGGCAGCACTCACTAATTCAATAATCACTTGAAGAAAGTCTCAAATTAATAAATCACTGAATCTGTCTTGTTCGACTCAAAATGAGCAAAAAATAGGGAGTAAAATGATTCGCATCACTCCAGTGTGCTGACTGCTAAATAGTATTAGATCAGACTCTAAACTATTTAACATCATATCTACACTACCATTCAAAAGTTTCTTCACAAAGACTGCATTTATTGGATGAAATTTACGGTAAAGACAGTAATACTTTTATTTTCAAATATATTCAGCATTATTACTCCAGTCTTCAGTGTCACATGATCCTTCAGAAATCATTCTAATATGCTGATTTGATGATCAAGAAACATTTTTTATTATTATCATCATCATCAATGTTGAAGACAGGTGTGCCACATAATATTTTTGTGGAAACTGTATACATTTTTTTTTTATGATTTTGACTTTTTAAAAGAACAGCTTTTATTTTAAATAGAAATCTTTTGAAACATTAATCGTCTTTTCTGTCACTTGTGATCAATGTAATGTGTCCTTGCTGAATAAAAGTATTAATTTCTTTAAAAAAAAAATAAAAAATCTTCCCATACTTTTGAATGGTGGTGTATGTCAGTGTGACTGGAACATTAGACCCTTCTCTCAAAGAGGAATTTTGAGCATTATGGAGTATGTCAAATCCTAGTTACTTTTGATACCTACAATGCTGGGTTATTTTTTCTGCCCATCCGCTGAGTTTTGAGTGTTGAAGCGCGGGCTTTTTGCATCCTCTTCAGGAGAGAGAGCGGTCTGCGCCGCCGAACTGGTGCACTTCTTCAGTGAAAGAAAGGTTTGTATACGGTTTATTTCATCTATAAAGTCTTTACTGTGCTGTAAAAGATTTATTTTACACAAGGCAACATACAGGTTCGAGATGTCAGTCAGGTGACTGCACCAGCAGCGGTTGTTTTGCATGAGAGAAACACCTTTTGCCTTGCATAACATAAACTGATTTCAATTTATAATACTGAATTTAATTTATTTTGATGTTAAAATATGTTCTCTAATCTCAGTACTGGTTGTTTATGGTTAGGTTATGGAGTCAGTCACGGCATCTTTCAGCTGTAAGTGAAACACGAGGCAGCGGTCTGAGGTTCGCAGTTTCCCCGCCGAACAGCAGCCCATCCCCGGCTCAGATTTCAGCGACACACCAGCACGAGAATCAGCACTATTTTGGTTAAAAAGCATAACAGAGAACAGTTTAATACACTTGAATTAAAATGTTACTTTTAAATATGACATTTTTATTTCTAAAATGCTTGTTAACCGAGTTAAAATGTATGTAATATTGTGTAAACTATGCTGTATTCACCCAAATAAATTCAATTTGTCAATGTGTTCTTGCTTATAAATGAATGTTCACCTTTTGATTATTACTGTTGCCGCTAGTAATTCTGAGTGTGTGATTTCTAGTTTCCAACCCATTTTTAGTCAGCAATTATATAGTAATTTTTAAACAAATAATACAACCCAACATGTAGGGTCAAACATTTAACCCAACCAGTCAAAATAACCCAGCATGTGTTCTGTCCAATATTTAACCAGCGCTGGGTTGCCAAATAAGCCATGGTTATATTTAACCCTCAAGTAGAGTACTTTTATTGGAGTGATGTGTCCTCAGGACATCTGTACTTCTCAAGTACAGGATTTATGTACTTTGTCAAATGTTAACTCGTTGAAAATTCACATAAAATGCTTTTGTTTTACAGGCTTTGGCTTAGCTTTTAACCTGCAACCATCTCTTACGATAATCGGTAAATACTTCCTTGTGAAAAGGCCAATAGCAAATGGCCTGGCAATGGCGGGTAGCCCGGTCTTCCTGTCCACCCTGGCTCCCCTCAACCAGTTTCTCTTTGACCATTTTGGATGGCGAGGAAGCTTCCTCATACTCGGAGGAGTGCTGCTCAACTGCTGCGTAGCAGGATCCCTTATGAGGCCCATCAAGATAAAAACAAAACTGCCAGTGAGGAAAACCACTGATGAGAATGACACAGGAAAACTGGACGTCACCTCTCAGACAGCTGGACAAGACGAGTCCAAGCAGTCAGTCTGTGCCACGAAAGTCAACCAATTCATTGATGTCTCCCTCTTCAAGCACAGAGGTTTCCTTATCTATCTGGTGGGGAATGTGCTCATGTTTTTTGGATTTTTTGCTCCAGTGGTCTTCCTGGCACCATATGCCAAGCATCAGGGGATAGATGAGTACTCCGCAGCATTCCTGCTCTCCATATTCGCTCTAGTAGACATGTTTGCACGTCCAGGAACGGGTTTGGTCGCCAACACCAGATGGATCAGACCCAAGATCCAGTATTTCTTCAGCTTCGCTGTGACATATAATGGCCTGTGCCATATGATGTGTCCGCTCTTACCAGGTTACAGTGGCCTGGTGGTGTACGCAGTGTTCTTTGGCCTGGCTTTTGGGATGGTGTGTGCTCTCCTGTTCGAGGTACTCATGGATTTGGTGGGAGCCCAGCGGTTCTCCAGTGCGGTTGGGCTTGCTACCATTATAGAGTGTGGGCCTGTCCTGCTGGGGCCACCAATCTCTGGTAAGTCCAAATATGAGATCTTCACTGACTGACATATCTCTCTGTGTTACAATGTTCAGGATGTTTATTCACAGATATCTTCCTCAGGTTTGCTGGTCGACATCTTCATGGACTACAAATACATGTACTTTGCTTGTGGCATGATGATGCTGCTTGGAGGTATCTTCCTTTTCATCATGAACTATTACAACTACAGATGGTTGGAAAAGGAAGGGAAACAGAGAAAGGTGGTAGAGCTAGAGATCGGCTCAGCCAAAGTGCTTGCTGCTAATGAGGAGGACAAAGACAACGAGGAAGAGATCAAACTCAACACAGAGGAAGCAGCAGACTCCACCAGCAAAGAGCGTTCTCTCTGTCTTACTGATGTTCTGAATATCATTCTATCTATCTGTCGTTCTGTCCACATGTCTATTGAAGTAATTCTGTCAACTTATCTATCATTATATATATATATATATATATATATATATATATATATACCTGTATGTGTTTCTGTTTATCTCTTTCTTTCTCTTGTTCTACCTGTCAGTTCTATCCATATGTCTATCCATCTGCCATTCTATGTCTTAATATCTGTTCTGTCCGTCAGCCTATCGTTCTGTCTGTCAATTTATGTTGTTCTGTCTACTTATTTATTGTTCTGTCATTGTATTTATACGTCTGTATATCTATCTGTCGTTCTGTCATTCTGTCTGTCTGATAGGTAGATGTCTGTCTACCTATCTATGTATATCTGTTGTTCTATCTATATGCCTGTCTGTCTATCTATCGAGAGAAAGGCAAAAAGTTGAAATGATTTGATAACTGTTCCTGTATATTATGTTAAAGCTTCCACTGTGATATAAGAGACATAAAGTAGTAACGGCAGGATTTCAGAAAATATCTGACTGCTGAATGCTGAGACTGACCAATCAGAATCAAGTATTCCAGAAATCTGCATTTTGTAATTTATTAAGATTTATTGCTTTAATTGTAGAGTTTTCATTGTATATTATTACTTTAAAAATTATATAGGTTTAATTTTAATCTAAAAAAGGTTATGCAGATTGGCAAACAGATGATGAAAAACAGATGAGTGTACATTATTATAACGGACATTCAAATTCACAGTGACAAATGAATACAGTGAAGTGTCTTAAGAAAAAAAAAACATTTATCTATAAACACAACACTCATTGTAGGTTCATTCTTTACACTTTGATTAAAAAACAGTGATTTGTTTAATATATCTCAGGGTTCCTCAAATCTTACTTGAAAAACAGATGAGTGTACATTATTATAACGGACATTCAAATTCACAGTGACAAATGAATACAGTGAAGTGTCTTAAGAAAAAAAAAACATTTATCTATAAACACATAACACTCATTGTAGGTTCATTCTTTACACTTTGATTAAAAAACAGTGATTTGTTTAATATATCTCAGGGTTCCTCAAATCTTACCCTGGAGGTCGAATGCGCTGCAGAGTTTAGCCCCAACCCTGATCAAACTCAGCTACCTGTGATTTTCTAATGATCCTGAAGACATTGATTAGCATGCTCAGGTGTGTTTGATTAGGGTTAGAGCTAAACTCTGCAGGAAAGTGGATCTCGTGGGTCAGATTTGAGGATCCCTGGTATATCTAAACTCAGAAACATTACTTACATCTCAGAGCACCAATATTACTCAATGGTCATCATAGCTTCTAGTCGCTGATCTATGCATTGAAACACTACAGGCCTTATTGAAGAGTGGAATGTATGTACCAGACGATTAAACACATTTCAAAGCTTTAAATATATTTGCTATGCAAGCTTTGCTATATGTACAAATCTATGTTACAGACCCAGCCATCCTTGTTTAAAGCGATAGTTCACCCAAAAATGACTATTCTGTCATTGTTTACTTGCCCTAATGTTACCTGTATGCATTTCTTTCTCTGGATCTTAGTCGCTGATCTATGCATTGAAACACTACAGGCCTTATTGAAGAGTGGAATGTATGTACCAGACGATTAAACACATTCCACAGCTTTAAATATATTTGCTATGCAAGCTTTGCTATATGTACAAATCTATGTTACAGACCCAGCCATCCTTGTTTAAAGCGATAGTTCACCCAAAAATGACTATTCTGTCATCGTTTACTTGCCCTAATGTTACCTGTATGCATTTCTTTCTCTGGATCACAAACAAAGATATTTTGAAGAATGTTGTGCCCAAAAAACATTGGACCCCATTGACCCTCAATACAGAGACATTTATCAAAGTATCTTGTTTGCGTTTTCCACAGAGGAAAGAAAGTCTTACAGATTTGGAACAGTCCCATTTAGAAAAAAAACAGTTTGGAGCCATGGCCTTTTCATTCGACACACTCAAAACAGACATGAACAGAAACTTATTCAAGTAAAAAAAGCCAGAGAGGGTTACAGCTTTAGCCAGGGATGTTTGAGACACTGAGCTGCTGTTGCCCTCCGTTCTGGCAGGAAGTCCAACATCTGTAACAGGAAATCAGAGAAAAGTGAGGCCTCTCTGAGGAGAAAGTGATATTTCTCTACCAGCACTTCGTACAGCCCCCATACACGGAGGACAGCTATTCGCCGCAGGTCACCTGTGCAACAACAAACGTAGTTAAAGCAATGAAACCACTGCAAGAATTCTTTTGGAGAATAACATTAATTTTACTTTGGTAAACATACACATCTTTCTTGCACTAAAATTATGAATTTGACCTGTCTCCACACCAAGATGAATAAGGAAAGACAAATCTAATATTGTACTTACCTTTGCGGTTGAAATACTGATAGGAATATTTCCCAGACAGAGCCACTGACACTGGGATCTTACCCAGGAGCTCAATAATATGAGCCAGGTGGTCTAAAAATAATAGAAATGGTGAACCCCACAAATCTACACTTCTCTATTAAAAATATTGTTGATGGCTATTAAATAGTTTACCTTCCTCTAAGGAGAAATTATGCCCTGCTTTGGGTTCAAATAAGGAATCACCAGTAACAAGCTCAAATGCCTATTGAAAAATAATACAGATAATAAGAAACAGTGTTGGGTAGTAACTGATTACATGTAATTGGGATTACATGATCAGATTTAAAAAAGATTACATAATTAGTAAATTATTATTTTTTTCTCTTTTAAATTTACCTTCCTAAAAATCCTACCGTCATGCTTTGACTATACTCACAAATGTTGTGTAAATAGATTTGCAAACCATGCTTCTGAATTCGTAAAAATTATCTAAAAAAAGTAGCCAGATTATGTTACCTAAAAATGAGTAACCTAGATTGTTACAAACTACAGTTTTCATAAAGTAATCTGTAATTTGTATAATCTACTCAGCTCTGAAAAGAAATGATTAATAATACATATAAAATTATAAAAATACATTTATATTAATGATAAACTTAGATTTATATTAAAGGGGTAATATGATGCTGTTAAAAAGAACATTATTTTGTGTATTTGGTGTAATGAAATGTGTTTATGCGGTTTAAAGTAAAAAAAACACATTATTTTCCACATACTGTACATTATTGTTTCTCCTCCTTTAATATATTTATTTAATAAAATATAGTTTTTATATATTTTATCATTCTAATGCATCAAAACTGAAGCAAATGTTTTAAACAATTAACTTTTTTCCCCCAATAAATATGGCTTAAAACTACAAACAACAAGATCAATGCCTGCTTACAATTAAGTAATCCAAGTAATCCAGTCATGTGCTAAACAGTAGACTAGACTAAATTTTCTAGTAGGATGGCTCTATTTCGTCAAACACTGTCGACAGCTGTAGACTCACCAAGCAGGCCACACTCCAGATGTCAGCTGGAGGACCATATTCAGAGCCTAGAAGAACCTCCAGAGAGCGATACTGTCTGGTCTGGATCTCTTGACAAAAGTGTTTGTACTATAACAACAAGAAAAGAGGTTAAGTAATCTAATCAGGTATAGACATCAAGTGATTTCATTGATCCATATGCTTCCACAAGAGCATGCTGTGCATTCTTTGACATTGAGGAAAGCATTATATGAATTCACTGAATGTGTCGCACCACCCAACATGAGCTGCCAAGATCTGCAATTTTCACTGTGATATTATCCAAGTTTCCAGGCTTTGCAGCTGCTTCTGTGTAAAAGTAGTAGATGATTAATTAATGCTACATATATTACAGTGATACAATGTAATGATTTACTTCATTCACATTTAATTATTTTCCTACCGGGATCCTGGAGGATTGTGGTTTTAATGGCTGAAGTGTAAGTTTGTTTCGCGCCCCCTGGAGGATGAGATGAGGACTGTGTGAGACACAGCAGGATGTTCTCAGGCTTGATGTCTGTGTGAATGATCTTGCAGTGGCTGTGAAGATACTCCAGACCTTCAAGCACCTGAGACAGATACAGTTTTTCAGGTCTTGTGCTGATTTATACGGTCTTTCTTTTTTAGACACCAGGTCTACATGAAACTTTACACACATTAGAAGTGTCTCACCTGAGTGATGACCTGTTTGACACCGGTGAGAGAGAGACCTGGATTCCCAAAACACACTTGCCAACAGTGCAAGTCTGGTCCCAGCAGCTCCAACACCAGACAAATATCTACATAGTGGTCAAGAATCAACTAACAACTCTCAATATGTATTTCTGTATTATATAAAGACTAAAATACCATAAAAGTATACCCCAAATTTCCCACAGAACAGATCTGAAATGTTGAGAATTTTATACAACAGTTAGTTTGTCTTTGAATTTGAAAATATGGGACTTTTAAACTGTAGCGTTCCACATGCAGTCACATTTCTTGTTATTATAAACTGTTGAAATCCAGTAATTTTATATGGTTCAAGCTCAAATTTCACTCAGGTTCAAGCTGCTTGATTTCAAAGGGCTTTGTTAGCAGGGCTTAATACATCGCTAAGCTATTGACATACCTTTTTTGCCTACAAATTTTGGCTGAAATTCTGCAAATGAAGGTCCACCTAGAATACTTATTAGTGTGTTGGGGATTTTTAGTGACTCAGCATTATGTCAGTAGGTGGCAGCAAGTGACAGTCTTAAAGGGATAGTTCACCCAAAAATGAAAATTACCCCATGATTTACTCACCCTCAAGCCATCCTAGGTTTATGACTTTATTCTTTCAGATGAATACAATGGGAGTTCTATTAAAGGGGTGGTTGATTGCGATTTCACTTTTTTAACGTTAGTTAGATTGTATTCATCTGAAAGAAGAAAGTCATATAAATTTAGGATGCCAGAGAACAGTTTCAGAACTATTAATGTCAGATTTACAAATCGGTCAAACAGGTTTGTGAAACGGACTGAAATTGTTTTATTAATTATGACAGTGGGTTCTCACACTGAAAAAAATATTGGGATATTTTTTTTTTTTTTTTAAAGCTCTGGGTGAGGTGGATAATTACCTATAATTAATTGTAGGAAACAAACCTAGCAAATGTCTTCTATTGTTTTCAAATGATGAAGCAGCTCTTTATTGCATGTGCAGTTTGTGAATGACTCTGTACTGCAGGTAAAGATGATTTATAACCAAAAGAGTATAAAAAAATAAATAAATAAAAAAGAATAAGAAAATATGGCCACATTTTTTTTTATGGGTTGCCTGTTACTGTTGAAAGGCTAGAAACACCCCTGAATTCAATCATAAAGGGGTGCTAATTTTACTGTGAAAATCAGATGAATATCATTTGTCAAGTGTTTATTATTGTTGTAGTGGTTCATTTTGCATAAATGATATTATGAAAGGATACGAATGCCGTTCACACCAGCTATCTTAAACTCATCCAGTAACTGCACAATACGTCCTTTGAGAGGGTTACGGGCTGTGGGACCAGTAGCCTGGAGAGAGGGAAAACTTTTGAGATTTATGTACAAACACACAATGCAAGAGAGACAAAGAACCAGGGAGAGAGAGAGCGAGAGACACTCACACATCGCAGTAATGTCAGTTCATCTTGGCCAGCCTGAGTGAATCCAGCTCCGCTCTTCAACACCTTCACTGCCACATGCCTGCCTGACCTGCAAAACCACAACGGACACTTGAGAACTTTTAAACACACATGCACACTTCAATACACACATTTACACATGCAAGGCAACCCATAAAACACAAAGTTTCAGTACCTGAGGTCAATGCAGAGCCATACAGTAGAGAAATAACCCCAACCCAGCTTTGACAGAACCTTGTATCTCTTATTAAACACATCGCCCACCTGCACTGGGTGATACCCACCTATAGAGAGAGAAAAACAAAGGTTCTTAATTGGCCATGAAGAACCTTTAATATCCATGGAAACATTTTATTGCACAAAGGTTCTTTGTGTTCTTTACACTATGGGAAAAGGGGTTATTTTAAGAACTGTTCACTGGAGGTTTTCTGGGGAACCAGAAAAGGGCTTTCTATGGAATCACTATATTGTACTAATGACCTTATTGACTACATGGCTCTTCAGTCTCTTTAATTTGATTACAGATTTAAAGGGGCTCACCGTAGCAGTAATCTCTTGGATCTTCATGTTCCTCTGTGTAATCAGATTCAAGATGTTCAAAATTCCTCAGTGTTTTCAGCTTAGAGTCCATAACTACATGAGACCTGCATTAGAACCCACCACTTGCGTATATTATAATTTAAAAGTGATATCTGACTATTCATATATTCATGCATAATCACACATATATGATGCATAAAGTATCATGAGAGTAATAAATCTTTGCATAAATAATTCAGTGGTTGCTGATGTAATGGAGCATATACAAAAGACTAAATCTGTGCTGTGTATTCTTAGACAACCATAAACGTCCGGTAGAGGTGGAAGCGCAGCTCTTCTATCCTGACACATTTGGCTCACCAAGAGTCAGATAAGCCAGTACCGCATTTAGATCTCAACACCCGCTGCTGTGGGAGTTTACAGCAGGCTCTGAACCGTGACCTGAAAATATATCATGGCACTGTCTGTCTGTCACTCATGTCACATAAGACCTTGGAGGGCAACATGAGGGCATATTCCCACAGTCAAACTCACTGTTCAATTTTAGCTTGATTGCTAGTGAAATAAATTTTACTGACACATGCAAAAAAGTACCATGGTAATACCATTGTATGACTATGGTACTCAGTACCAGAGTATAAATCATTACCATGGTAATTCCACCTGATACCATCACTTCACCACTAAAAATATAGAATTGATTTTAAATCAGTACTTTTTTCTTACATTATGTATTTATAATTTCTGATTTTAAGCAGGATTGATATGTAACCAAGTGCTTCCAGACAGACAGGGAAAGTTTTTAAGATGGACTAGACTACAATTGACACATTATATTGTTTTCATAACATATTATTAAATGCATTAAAATATATATATCATTTATAATAGAGTATTTTACATTATACAGAAAATATTAGTGTTTGAATTGAAATTCCAAGTCTGCATATTAACACATGCAACAACATACTAACTAATTCATTAATTCTAAAATTATAATTATTGTGATGTATCTTAAACTAAAAGTACTTAAACTAAATCTCAAAGAAATGTCAATTAGGTGGATGTTCTTAAAGGATCAAAAAAGAGGTACATGACCAGAAGTCTGCTATAGACCAATAAAGCACATACTATATATAAAACAACATAACTCATCTAAATATAAAGCAGACATTTTCATTATATAAGGATTAACTTCTGCCAACACCAATTGGGCAGTACAGTATCCATGTCCTGAAGACCAGTGTTTACTGTCATACAACCGCAGTCAAACTCTGTCATTTCAACTTTTTATAGAAGAATTGAAAGATATTATTATATGGCTACCAAAGGCCACAAACAGAATCTCTGACCCAATCACAACAATCCAACAGCAGAAGCACATTTTAAATATTTTTGGTGAAAACCTTTATAGTAAAATATACATAGAAGCATGCAGAGTAAAGAGGTGTGTTGTACTCACGATTTGGTGCAGATCATGTCCTTTGTGTTTGTTTGCATGATTTCATCAGAGGTCTGGAGCTGCTTCTAGATGCTCATCCTGACTTTATGATTGGGGGGGGGGGGGTAATTGTATTCATCTGAAAGAAGAAAGTCATATAAATTTAGGATGCCAGAGAACAGTTTCAGAACTATTAATGTCAGATTTACAAATCGGTCAAACAGGTTTGTAAAACGGACTGAAATTGTTTATTAATTATGACAGTTCACACATGCACTGGATCGCTTGCAGTGGGTTCTCACACTGAAAAAATATTGGGATATTTTTTTTTTTTTTTTAAAGCTCTGGGTGAGGTGGATAGTTACCTATAATTAATTGTAGGAAACAAACCTAGCAAATGTCTTCTATTGTTTTCAAATGATGAAGCAGCTCTTTATTGCATGTGCAGCTTGTGAATGACTCTGTACTGCAGGTAAAGATGATTTATAACCAAAAGAGTATAAAAAAATAAATTAAAAAAAAAGAATAAGAAAATATGGCCACATTTTTTTTTTATGGGTTGCCTGTTACTGTTGAAAGGCTAGAAACACCCCTGAATTCAATCATAAAGGGGTGCTAATTTTACTGTGAAAATCAGATGAATATCATTTGTCAAGTGTTTATTATTGTTGTAGTGGTTCATTTTGCATAAATGATATTATGATCCACCTCTCTCTCTCTCTCAGTTGAGAGATATTCTGAGGAGACAGGTGGCTGTGCTGCTCACTTTAACTAAAGCATACACTCTTAAAAATAAAGGTGCTTCACGATGCCATAGAAGAACCTTTTTGTCTAAATGGTTCCATAAAGAACCTTCAACATCAGAAGAACCTTTCTGTTTCACAAAAGGTTCTTTGTGGCGAATAAAGGATCTTGAGATTATAAAAAGGTAATAAAGAGATGGTTCTTTAAAGAACCTTTGACTGAATGGTTCTTTGTGGAACTAAAAATGGTTCTTCTATGGCATCGCTTGAAGAACCTTTTGAAGCACCTTTATTTTTAAGAGTGTAGGCAGAACAAACTTTCTGACACTGCAGAGAAAACACATTAACAAGAAGCTGCTGATGGAACATCCGACTAAAATAAGCTGCACAAAGCCAAAAGAATCCAAGTGTTTATCTGTAGCATTTAGGGCAGTGAGTATTATGCAGTATCTGGAATGGAATGTAAAGCACATCAGAAAACACATTAACAAGAAGCTGCTGATGGAACATCCGACTAAAATAAGCTGCACAAAGCCAAAAGAATCCAAGAGTTTATCTGTAGCATTTAGGGCAGTGAGTATTATGCAGTATCTGGAATGGAATGTAAAGCACATTATACTCACACATGATATCACCATCTACAAAAATCACAAAAACACGTGCCGTGCAGTTTGGAGCATGAGTTGCTGTGGTTTCTGTGCATTGTATTTGTCTCGCATATAGTGCTAAAAATAACCACCAGTCAACTGGGGAAGAGCGAGAGAGAGAGAGAGAGAGAGAGAGAGAGAGAGAGA